TATTCAGGTTAAATAAGGCACATTGATTTTATCATGTTCATAACTCTACCTGTTCCCACCTTCCAAAAAGAACTGCCATGCGTTATTTTCTTTAAAGTGCTACATTTTAAAAATTGGTTAAAATTCAAAGCTTTTCTTTGGGGAGAAAAAGTAGGGTTTTGTGTTAAAAATGGCTTTATATTACATCATTAGCATCGTTAAAATAATGTTTTTGTAATGAACTAGCTCAAAGCTCATAAACTGTGCTTAAAATGATGCAAATATCCAGTGTGTTCCACCTTGCTTTTTAAAAAGTTTGTAACATCATTCCATATTTTTGTATGTGTGTCAGTACACATCCATACTAAAAACAACAAATACTTCTCAAACTTTGCTTAACTACTCATTGGCATGGAGTCAAAGGCATTGAATGTTCCTGACCTATTAAATATTCCTCAGGAGACACTCAATAGCACTTGGGCATAAGCTACTCAATATTGTATCATTTATTTATTATTAAAAGCTTTTATATACCATTCTATTATATAAAAAACTCAGGACGGCTTACAATGCTTTAAAAGGACAATTTAAAAGACAACAATTTCCAATAAATGAATTAAAAACAAAACAATGTATAAAACAAAACAATAAACAGTAAATCACAAAACAAGAGCAACTAAACGTTAAAACTATTTATTATCATGATTGCATTGTTACAAATAAAGCATATTTCATAGTATAATATACTAATGCAAATAATTAAGATACACAACACTCATATAAGTGTATGTTCTGATAAATTAACCCGTCTCATTTACACTATTAAGTTCTTAAAGTTGCACATACATTCGCTTCATCTGTGCAGATCTTGGACTCTCTTCTGGATTGTTTATGAAATTAACATTTTGCAATAGCAATTCTGACAGATCAACAAATGATAGGTATTTGCAAGGGCCAGTATATGGTGACTGGAAGTAAGTATTTCTTATTTTTTATATACAATGTAACCTGAGATTTTAAAAAATGGAGACCGAAAGATGCTATTTCACATGGCCATTTTAAATTGTTCAGTAACTGTTAAGATTCTGCTAGGAGCTATTCTTTGTATGTTTGACAAAGCCTGTAAAGATCTACATGAATAGTTTAATTAGTCTGTAACTCTTTTTGATTCTCATTTTTTAGAAACCTTGATAAATGGGTTTCCAATTTCCTGGCATGCCAAAGCTGAACTCAGAAATCAAAGCACAAGTTTGGTCGGAGTGCCAACGCAGCCAAGTGCCGGGTGTTGCTTTGTCAGTATCTCTGAATTAAAGCATGCTGGTTAAAGCTTAGTTTTGGAATTAAAAGGCAGTCCCATGAGATCCCAGAAATCGATCTTTATACAAACATAGATGCTTAAGACCATTACATATTGGCATTAATACAAGCGGGACATTTCCACAAATACACACAACACCCAACAAATCCTGGCCATTCGGATTAGCAAACAATACTCCATGAAACTAGCTTTCTGTTAATAATGCTGCTTATTGTTGGGAAATCTCTTTTGGAGCAAATTTGTCAAACACACAAAAGGTCTAAAAGTGAAAAATAGTAATTAAGACTCTCACTTTATTGATTGGGAAGCTTAAGTAATTTTTCATTACTAACATAAGATTTAATACATAAAAGTAGTTAAAGATTCTGCCTTGGCACTAGCTATTAGCATGTAATTGAACTAGTAAAAAAGATCAGTTTAACCTATGTTGATTACCACCTTATCTTTGAAAGGCAATTAAGGACCTCAATCATTGCAACAAGATTTGATTGTGTGGCCTTTATTGGACATTGATCTTTCAGCGACACACAGTTACATTTTCCATTAATTTACAGTAACACAGTTTAACTCCGATACCTTAGACCATTGACCGAGGTAAGATGTCAGGCTAAGCACCCGTTTAGGTTAAGATGTTCCCACCAGTCATTACTGTTTAAAAGGGGGCACTGAAAAATGCAGATCCCCATCAACTAGGTTTAGTCTAAGGTTTCCATTATTGGCAGTTGTTTCATTGCACTTAACAACAAAGTTCCCAGCCTTTCGAATAGCATCGCTCTTGCTTTTAGGCATCATCCTTGTGTAGGCTGAAAGAGATAATGAAAGCAAGAGGCACGAGGCCACTCCTATTGCGTTTCAAAGGAGAACAGCGCAGATCCTATTTCCTGAAAGTTGAAGGGTCATGTTGTCTTCCAGTCATCTTAAATATACCATGCAAACAGACCCATCTCAGAAGTGTGTGTAAAATGCATGTCCGTTAGGCATGGCCGATTGATCCGAGCGGCCAAGATTCAGAGTGCGATTTGGTCACCTCTGCTGGATGAGCTCCGCTGGGAAAGGAGCAGAGGCAGCGCCACCCCCAGGACGTCCTTCTAGATAGGCTGCCTGGGGAAGGCGCAGCACTGAGGCCGTTCCGCTCCTGCCTGGGGATACTTGCCCTGTGCCTTGGCAGCCTGTTAGAGGAGGAGTTCCACGGGGCTCAGCTTTATCTCCATGTGGCGTAACACGCGACTGCTGGGGGAGGCTATTGGGAGGGGTCGTGAAAGCTGAGGGGAGGTGGGATGGGGTGTCATCAACAGGCAGATGACACCCACCCCTCTGCTTTTCGCCAGCTCTGGGTGAGGTGCCGGCTGATCACCCAGCACCTGAGCACAGCAAGGGACGGGATGAGGGCCAGTGAAGTGAGACCGAGGCCCCGTGGGAAGGTGGCAGTTACCTGCCTGGCCACTGGAGGAACAAGGGGGCTCGGTGGCACGAAGCACCTCCCATCAGCTTAGGTGGAGGGACCAGTGACAGCAGGCATCCATGCGCAGGCAACTTCTCGGCTGGATTACCGCAATGCGTTCCAAGTGCAGCTGCCTTTGGAAATGGCCCAGGGGCCCAAACGACAGCGAGACTGCCCACAGGGACTGGCCAGCGCTACAGCTAGGCCAGGCCTTCTCCAGCGGAGGCTCCCACTGCCGGTGCCTGCGTGGGCCCCATGCAGCATGCTGGCAACACCATTCAGTGCCTCGACTGGCCTGGGCACGTCGCCTCCTCTCACATATGGCTGCCTGGCCCTACCAGCCTCCTTGCTGATCCTCCTGCGAAGGGGAGCCGGGGGAGCCCGTACGAGCCTCTTCTGTTTGACAGCCAGATTATGGGATGGACTTGCCCACCAGTCAGAGGCTGCAGCTTTGGGGCAGTATGGAGTCTCACGACAAGCATTCTATTTTTTGTTTGCAGTGATAGTGTCGGGAAATGTAAGGCCGTATGCCTTTGCACAGGATTTCAGCCTGGCATGGCGGCAAGGAGCCTGGGCACCTCTTCTCAGCTTCAGCCCTCTGAACATCAAGGCAGCGTGATCAGAACACGTTGCACGTGAGACCGTCCTTGAAGAGGGTTCAAAATCTGCAATTTGTGCAAAATTCAGCAGCAAGAATTCTGACTAGTTCACCTTAATTGCACCACTGGCTTCTTATCTGCCATCAAGCCCAACATAGTTCAGGTCTTGTCTTTGCAGCCCTCTGCCACTTAAGGCCCAAACACCCGAAGCAGAGCATCTTCCTTCGTTAAGATCTTTAGAAGAGACTCGTCCCCAATACAAATAGTGCTTGAAATACACAATGCATTTACTAGCACAGGATCTTCTCTGCGTTAGCACTCTGATTTTGGAATGTCCCTCCAAAAGGACTGCCCTCTCCACTTTTTTATTTTCAGCACCAATGCAAAAAGAAGTATTTTGGTAGGCAGGACGAGACATGGTTAACGTTAACATTTTAAAGATGCCATTTCCGTTTCTAATTAAAATTGGCTTTTCTTTATTGTCTACATATTTTTTATTTCTCTCACTTTTTAATTCTATATTTTATATGGAATTTTTAAAAAATATTGTGTACAGTTTTTTCAGATCCCTTGTGAAGGATATTTTTATAGATTTAAAATAAAATAAAGTAAGTAATGGTGAGCAGTCAGTCCAGTGAAAGCTCCTGGAAATGGAACCCATACCCCACTGTGCAAGCTAGAAGCAGGTGGAAATTTATCAGTCATGACCCACCATCTGAGAAGTCCTGTCTTAGACTTGGGTTCAACTAACTTTTATGCACACTCAGGAAAAAAGGGGCAGAACGTTTGACGGAGTTCATTATATTTGATAAAAGCTGGTGGTAACCCAAAGTCAACTCTTCATGATACTAGGATGCAGGGACACCCTTTTCCAAATTACATATCCACACATCCTCTGCAACACATGCCCTTATGAGGAAAAGTAATTTGGAAGATGCCACTGCCAAAACAAAAAAACAAACAGAAGGCAAAAGCCTTGCATTTTATGAATGGCATCCGTCCCTCTCTAAATACTTCAACAGGTCACGTGTGTGTCCTAATGAATCCAGTAAGGGATACTATATTTGATCTCTGCCCTCAGCCATCTTTCAAGCTCATCCTTCACCATGATCAACTCCAGAAGTGCAGGAGGTCCATTGATTTTCATGTAATAAAAGAAAATATTACATTTGCTTAATTGTTACACAGTGAAAGCATTGAGCACAAAATCAAGTCTCTATTAATGCTGCAAGCAGTGTGGAATTGCACTGGATCAATAGAGCAGTTTGTCAAAGAGGTTCTCCAAGGAGGGTCGCCCATCCCCGTGAGGACAAGGAGTCACGCTGTTTTCACTTATTGAAAAACAGGTGAGCAAAGTCAGCAGTCTCCATGATCAAAAATCAAATAAACGGCAGGTAGTGGAGGGGCCACTCCAAGGCAAAGATGTATTTATAGTATGGTAATTAAAAAAGCATTTTACCAGTTTCATATTGAGACCGAATCTTCTCGGCAGAATATTGACAGTATCAGAAGCAATGAATGAGCACTATTTGACTTTAAACTTATGAGCTGTGCTTATTTAATTTTGCCTGTTACTGGGAAAATCAGTTCTAGCCAATCTAGCAAAATGCTAATAGTCACTTTTATTATTAATGAAGCTTTTAATGTAACACACCAGCTACTCTACTGTGTAAACTATTTATTTAACTTGTGGTAGAAATATACGTTGGTGCTGACTGTAGTAGGGTAGCTTTGATTACAAATGTATTTAGAATCACTTTTAAACAAAGCAAATATATTACTGCTTTCCTGTGTGAAACCCTTTCACAATTCAAATCTGATATTAACTTAGTTTTAGATAAATACTTATGCATAATTCCACTGTAACCCTATGCTGCAAAAAATATATTACAGTTTTATTTTCAGTAAAGCAAATGTCTCTTCCCCAGGAACATAATTTGCTGGAATACTAATCTTAAAGCAAACACGCCTCCATACATTCTTAGACCTGCCTACCAAACTTTAGACAACACTATGTTCATTACTAATTAAGCACTTGCAATGGATGTGGAGAGTTTCAAAGCAAACTGGAGTGCTCATTCGGGTTGAAGAAGAGAAACAACTGTGTGCATTAACTACACATAAACTCAAAGCCATTAGCTCGATCCAACTAGTAATTACTTTGCATTTCCATTGACTTCAATGGGAGCATGACTCATATTCTTAAATTGCTGAAATCAATGGGCCTAACAAGAGCCCAGTCTGGGCTGGATCGTACCAAACCAGAAGGAACTTGCGCATCAGCAATGATTTTTCTCAGATTTCTGAATTATTTCACAGAGTGCCTGTTCAATTGTGTTGCAAATCCATTTTGTTTTTTAAAAACCTCAGTGCCTAGAGAATATAGTCATATTTGAATGGCATTAAAATGCTGGGTAACAAACCAGTAAAAGAATAAACACAAACACAAATAGATAAACAGACAAGGCCCCAAAATAACGTTTTCATCATTCACAGCCAGAATCGGATTTTGAGGACAGGGGCACCTTCTTGTGTTTGCCAAACTCAAAGGAAACCCAAATGGTGCCAAAGGGAAAACGGGGGCACTCTTTGAAAGCTCCACATCCTGCAAAGAAGAGGCTGCAAAGCACAGCCCACACATATTCCCTTAGCCCCGACAGGACTTCGAGGCGCCCGTTTAGTGCAAGGCACCTTCATCTTCTTTATTCAGAAAGTAAATAGTGACTGGGCCGCTGCGGGTATGAACTGTCTCTGTCACATTAGCAAGGAACCAGGAGCCAATACCATACGCTAACGTTGGGATACCTATTGAGGAAAAAAGACAGACACGAGTCAAAAGGGCCAAAGCCTTGCATGTGCCCAGATACAATCCCTGCGGGTCTTCCAAGAAGCAAGACTCACTGGCCTAGGTCAGCCAAGGCGGCAGGCAGGCAGGCAGGCGATCGCAGCTGAAGTCTCCCATGATGGGAGCCTGTATGTGCAGCTGCCAGTTCGACAATGCACACCCCACGTGGCACCGTGCTGGTGCAAACGCAGCCATCCATCGTGGCTTAGCCAGGGCTGAACAACAAGCCAAGTTCTCTTGACACCGCAGGGTGGCCTGCCTGGGGGGCAGGCTGCGGGGTCAAGAAAGCCCTGCACACGCGCAGCTTTCTCAACCCGAGCAGTGCCGCGCAGGCCCACCTGACCGACGAGCTCCACCGCCGTGCGCCCGGCCAGGTGTGCACAGAGCCGCACCCGAACGGCACGCCCCATATTCACGTGCACAGCAAAACGCACGCAGAGAAAGGCAGGCGGGCAGGGGGCTGCGAGGGGCCGGGCGACCCCGAGGCAGAAGCCACGGACACGCGCCGCGGAGGCCGCTCGGCCGGCCCGCACGCCCGAAGCGCGGCGGAGGAGGCGTGGCCGCTGCGGGATTCCGCGGGCTCGCCGAGCCCCGGGTGCCGGCGGCGAAGCGCACGTCTGAACGGCTCGCCGCCCGTCTGCCGCGCGTCGGCACCACGGGAGGCCGCGCATTCCGGGGCTCCCGCGGCGAGCAGGCCAGGCCAGGCCAGGCCCGGGGGCGGGGGAAGGGGCTCGGCCGGCCGCGCGGGGCGCCGCTGCCACTCACCCAGGTTGAGGAGCTTGAGCGCCGTGAAGAAGCGGTCCTGCGCGGCCAGGTCCCGGCGGGGCGCCCGCGAGCAGTGGTACTTGACGAAGGGGAAGCAGCCCGTGCGCAGGACGTGGTAGTTGGCGCCGCGCACCTCCCAGTTGAAGCTGGAGCGCCCGAACTGGTCGTTGCGCACCGCGCTGTACTTCACGCAGAACGAGGTCCAGGGCGGC